TCCCTACTGAGTAAAGCTTTGCTCCTGAAACAATGGGTGCAGGCTGAGTGCAAGGGCTAACTGACTCAGGCGCAGCTAAACCTGAACAATGACCATGTCAGGATGGGTCTCAGGCAGCACCAGTGTGGGTCATACTCGACTCCACTGTGGGAATGGGGCTGCTCACAGGACATCCAGCAACAGTGTCCTCGGGCACAGCAGTTTCACCTCTTTAAGGAGTGAAGAAATAAGCTCTTATTGTTGTTTAAATGTTGTTCTCATCTCCGAATTGTGTAGCCGCAATTACCCCATGTGACTAACTTCATTATTCTCTAAGCCCATTAGTTCCAGGGATCTCATTAGGCAAACAGAGACTTACTTGCCTCCCCTCCTATGGCCTTCACCATACCACATTTGCTGCTTATAAAAATTGTAATGAGGAAATGTTGTGCTGGATAATACCTCATGCAAAACAGATGGCACAACATCACTGTTCAGACCAGGCTCTGAGTTATCCAGAACAACATGACTAATGATGCTGTAGTCTTTCAATCTAAATAGTTTAACTGGTAATATTTTATTTAAGCTGGTTCTCAAAAAAAAATAGAGAAATAATGATATACATAACAAAACCCAATAACAAATCAAAACTACTAACTAAAGAATTCATTAGCTTATAACAACACACACCATCACAACAGAGTTTCTCCTGAGCCCAGTAAGACATTTCAGTTGAAAGTGGAATGGTTTTGAAGTTCTTTTCAAACCCCAAAAGAAAAGCTTCCTTCTAACTACTCAGGCAATTTAAAAAGTTCACAATTTTGAGCTTCCATCTGAAAAGAAAAATCTCCATTCAGACTGGGAAATTTAGCTCATTTGACATTGAATCACTTATTGCATTTCAAGTTGAGGTTTTTGGATGGGCTGAACATGAACAAATACCAGAAGTTTAGAAACAGATGGTGATTTTGTTTGGTCTTTTCTTTTTTCTTTCTTTTTTGTGATGGCCACTTTTGTGACATAAATAATAATAAAGCTTGCGAAGTCCCAGAGCTTCTCTCCAATTGACATGGGTTTTGCCTTACTTCTAATTAAAACTTGGAACAACATTCTCCCACTTAGCATCACACAGATTCTTTTAAAATCAGTATTTACAGAGATTTATGAGATCAACACTTTGTGTGCTGAATTAATGAACAGAAAAGCAAATTAATGTACTTCTGCAGCAGAAATCAATAATCTTGAAAATGAAAAGGTCTCTTTTACCACCAACTCACTTTCATGGGTATAGCTAACAATGTGAAATGTTGACATACAAGAAATTTACTGTCTCCTCTCTTCCACCAGGCATTGGTGGCATATGCAGTACATGCCTTGGTGATCATTGTACACTCTTCAGAGTAAAAAAGCTTACACTACACAGTAAATGAAATAAAATTCAATGGGATCAAGAAACAGCTAATCTTAGTATACATACATATATATACATGTATTACCTGTCTTTGTTCTGCAACAGCTAGTTTTTTCGAGTATCTGTAGATTCAACTTGATGTTGAGCCTGGTTAAATATATATTTAATAAATGACTGCATTTTTATTTGAAAAGTATTACTGGCAGTGCAGGGAACTTGAAAAAGGGCTGAGGTTAAAACTGTCTTCTAATGCGGAAATGGAGGTTGGCCTGGGTGAAGCAGAGCCCTTCCTCACTGCCCTGAGATGGCAGGATAGCACCGGGGGTGGCTGCATCTGTGGATGACATGAAGGAAAACCGGGGCTTTGGTTTACTCCTACCTAGACTTGTTTATTCAAAGATTCAAACCTTTACAGCATCTGACTGACTCTCCTTGTCCTCATGGAAGAAAAATGCTGTTGCAAGTTTTCCTGAAGAGTTCTTCAATCCCTGTCTGAGAAAATAATTAAGAAAGAAAGCCCTCTTGGAAAGGTTTCCAGTGTATTACATGGGTAGCATTATGGGAAGTAAATGAGGTGGCACTCCATTCAGTAATTGCACCAGCTCTGGGCAATGAGTTAGTTTGCAATTGCTACTGCTTCTGTAAACGGGTATAATAAGGGACAAAACCTGCTAATTGCTGAGGTAGGTTCTCCAAGATGCAGGTTAATTCGGTTAGTCACAGAAAACAGCTTGACAAAAAGTAACATTCATCTGACAGCTGTTGTGAATGTGACCAGAATAACAGCCTGCAGCATTTTATTAAGCAGCAGGAAGTCTCTTAATGATTTCTCAGCTACTCTTTTAAAACTGACCTTTTACATGGTTTTCTGTTAGTAATTCTTTTGAACCTAAGAATTAGAATTATGGTCTAATTCTATAAGCTTCTACTCATAGAGGTTGCGTTTAATGTCACTGAATCAGGGGATTTGATTTCTAAAGCATGGAGCGGTTATATGAAATGGGAACTGGATCCATCTCTTCCCAGGCAAGAATCACAATGCCCAGGCTGGGGCAGTGGGTGCAGGCCCATCAGGTTCCTGTTTCTTGAATTCCCAGTGCTATCCTGAGGAAACCCTGCACATTTTTTCCTATCTAAACTAGAGATTACAATACCTTTTAGATGAATGTATATTTGCCAAATGCCTTAAGATCCTCTGATGAAATGCAACTTGCGGTTAAAAGGATCACATGCTGTGCTGTGGTTCTGCCTGCTGTGACTTGCAGACCTGCTGGCAGTTTTATCCCAACACCACCCTCGTCCTGACAAGTCTGTTTCCATCTGCACACCAATCTGTGTACCCAAAACAGCTTCATGGATGTGCCCAGTTTGGCAGAGAAAAGGCTTGTTTTCAAATGCAGCAAGCAAGTAAATGATAGGTTACAAAGGACTTCACCAATAAACGGAACTGCTCGCGCAGTTCATCCTATCAAAACTAAGGAATACTTTATTACTTAGGATGTAACCTGCTCGTACTGACATTCGTGGCTTTTGAAGGTTGTTTGAAAGTTCGAGGTCCTTAAGGAGTTTTCCCAGAACAGTTACGCAAAGACACAGAGATGATGAATGAATTCCCTCTATGTTTAAGTAGTCAAATATGCAAAGAATGTTAAAAAGCAGAGCCACTTTCCAGAAAATGAAAGCATTCACCACACCACCACCTTAACACGTATGCAGAGCTGCAGCTAAGTTGTCTGCTGTAGTGAACTTTGCCTCTTCATTTCCATGCTCACAGGGACGTCTCAACTTGTAATCATTAATGAACTATCCCTGTAATGGAAGGGTGACTGTACACTCTCTGTATCATTCAGAGCTGCTTTGGGAAACCAGAAGTTACTGAAAATGTCGAGCAGGTATCATAAAGCAGCAGCCGATGGCAACTTGGACCTCTTGAAAGAAGCCACTAGGAAAGACCTCAATACTTCAGATGAGGATGGGATGACACCCACCCTTCTGGCAGCATACTACGGATATCTAGAAGCTCTGGAAGTCATATGCCGGAGGGGGTAAGTCAATCAGTCTCCATTGCTCAAAGCTTGTGGTTCAAAACGACCTCAGACCTAAAAGGCTGAAAATCACAGTAATTCCTTTCAATGCATTGTCAAGAATTGTTTCCCTTAATTCGCAATGCTTTAGCTCCAGAACCTGCAAGCAGGTCTGTATGTGCAGCCAGCGAAGCCGCATTGGCATCAGCGGGACCGTCTCGTATATGGAGCCTGCAGGGAGTGGTTAATAGTAGCAGGGCCCTGAGATCTTGCTTTGCTGTAATGGAGGAGAAGTTGGCCAACACCTTTTGATGATAATGTATCTTTGAAATGGGCTCCATAGAGAAGTGCATTGTTTGAAACATTTTTAGCAGAAAATCTCTCCCATTTGCTTCCAAAGGGCAGTTGGTAGACACCTGTGAAGATTTAATGCTTTCCAGAGGCAAGTCACAACTAATGGTTTTGAGACAGTAACATCTAAAATTCTTATTTCACTGTTTTTTATAGTATTAGCAACTACCACGGTGCTAAGAATGAAAATAATGTTTCAGAAGCTGTGGTAGGATCCTTGTAAAACAAAACAAAACCAATAAAAAGAAAAAAAGGAAAGGAAGGTTTTCTACAGGGTTATTTTGTAATAGTAATATTTCTGTTTCGTATAATTTAAATGTAGTACATACTTAAAATGTATTATTGAAAAGGTAATTACCTCCCAGCCCTCCATACTCTCTTGCTTGGAGCCTACCTTTTAAGCTGTGGTTCTGTAATAAGATCTAATAAAAGAAAATCTGCTCTTGTGTAGAAAGACAGCTAATAAAATGTTATTTCACTGAGATGGAGACTAAGTTGACCTGTATTTTCAATCCTGACAGTTTAAAGAAGGTTGGATGGAAAATCCGAATAACTATTTAGATGTATCTCTGTTTATTAAAAATAAGAACTGAAAAAATGGAATAAAATGGGTTTCTTTCATAGATTTGCTTTATAGCTCACTGAGCCCAGGTGTGGCTGTAATAACACAATAAAAAAGACCTTTGGACTGCACAGTTACTGCTTTGTCCTCAGGAGAAGCAAAAACAGATTTACAGTTTTTCGACTCACATAATTAAGGCAGCTTCAAGGAAATATCTAGAGTCGACAAAGGTTTGTCCCTGAACACCTCAAAGACAGACAGCTAAGGAACAAATAACAAAGTAATTCCTGCTTTCAAAATTGGAGTGAGAAATGTGTCTTCTACCATATAAGCTGACAGAAGTCACAGTGGAGGATGCAAAGATCAGAATTTCTATCTAACTGTTATTTAATGTATTTCTACCTCCTCTTCTTGTTAGATGACAGTTTGGGACAGTATTTCTCTCAAAATCTTAAAACACACACATTCACCTCTATTTTAATCCAAGATTTCCTGACACAATCTGCAAGCTGTGGCTGTCAGATGTACGGCCGTAGTTCTCACTGGTTTCCCTGAGAGAACCTGAATTTTGGAAGATGTTCAGTCTGCTCTGCAGTCAGTGTTTTCTTGTGGGAAAGTATCTTAATTATTTTTAACAAATTCATCCTTTCCTTGAAGAGTTTTCCTGACAAAGGCACTGAGATTCAGGATGGTTTTCTTTAGAGTGGTTGCAGATTCTAGGACTTTGAAGCTTGCAACACATTCAGCCCTTGGATGATGTAGCAATACTAACAATAACCCCTTTCATCTTGAAATAGTTTATCTTCCCAGGCATCAAGAGACATTTTCTCTGCTTGCTTTTCAGGTACATGAATAAAGGCAAGACCAAGTAGCAGATCTGCTCTCTTTTGTATGAGCCTCTTTCTTGGGAAAGCAGGGAAAATATGAGAACCCAAAGTAGATGTCAAACCTTATCCAAAGTCCCACTGAGCTGGGAACAGACACTCTGACAGTTGTTTGAGACTCAAACACTGGCAGCCTCTATGGGGAAAAGAGACCACAAACAGCTATGGAGAGACCTGAGGGAGGAGGGATGGCCCAGCACTCCCAAGGCTCAGGATAACACGGCCTGCTGGCTAATGTGGAAATTTAGGAACCTGGCACGCTTGGCCGCAGTCAGGCAGTTCCCCAAAGCTACAGAAGCAGAACCATGTACACATGGTTTCCACATGTCTAAGTGGAGACACTTTGATCCTCAGCTGCCACCTCCCTGTAGAAATGCCTGCGCTCCCGCAGCCTGGCATGCTCGGGCTTCCTATTGTTTCTTGATGTTGGCAGCTCTGTGTCTCAGCTCCGTGGGGACGCCTGACCTCTCCTGCCTTTGGCATTTCAGGCTGAAAGATGTTTTCAGATTTGGCCCTTGACAAATGTGTTAGTGCCTTTCTTCAGAGATACTCAAAGCCAGAGATCAGTGCCTGAAGGAGATGTGATAGGTTGTACAATTTCACTCATAGTTTGGCTGCAGTGGAACAAATCTCCAAGACATAGTAGTCTTTGAACTCCCAAGAACAGAAATTCTCCTTGTAAATTTGACCCCTGGCTCTGAACTTATTAAAGGTTTTGGGCTGCTGTGGCTGCCTTGGCTATTGATCACAAGGCGACTCAAGCTTTGTTCTGAATTTTGCTAATGGTGATTCTGCCAAATACGTATCAAAAGATTCAAGCCAATTTTTGTCTGCAGGCAGCAGTTCATGTGAAGTCAGTGCAAGAGTTAAAAATAAAGCAGTATTTCTCCTGGCTCTAAATTTAATTGAAAAGATGTGGTATTTTATTTTCAAATGAGCTTCTGCTTTTCAAACCCCATGAGCAAAAAGCAGCTTAAGGAGAATAAAAGAATTGAAGAAAAACAACAGCATCTATCTGAGCTTAATCGAATAGCAATGGAGACAAATGCGTAATCAGGGCTTTACTCCTAATCATTTACTTATTACCTACCAAAAAAGTTACTGCATGGGCTCATTATGTATGTACCACTGTGGGCAGTGAATAATCCTCCTAATATTACTCCTGCATTTGATATGCAAAAGGGAAGTGTCACCAAAAAGCCTTTAAAATATTCCACACAAAAGCTATTGAAATAGTTTTGCCATTAATTCCAGTGAGTGTAAGTCGAAGCCTGATCCCACTTTGAGCTGTCAGTAATAAAGCAGTAAGAGCTGCTGCCCCTCACCTGCACACAGGCGGCTGCTTCTTTCTGCCCTATTGCAGGTGAGACCTGCAGGGAGCAAAGCAAGCCCTGCCAGCAGCCTGGGATAATACAAAGGGAATACCCCGCCTCTGTTACAAGGAGTTGCACATGCATTCACACTCAGCCCCAGTGAACTTGCTTAATTCACAGGCAGGCAGGAATTGGAGCGTATGCCACACACGGAGCTAAACTCAGTGCTTGTGCAAGTAGGTGCAGTGCTGTTCTAGATGCAGCTAAGCTGACTCATTTTCATTGGGCTGGAGTACTCACAGCAAAGCAGAGCTAAATGTTTAGTGTCTGTTCAATCCCCCTGCAGTGCTGTGCTTGGGTACATCCAGCTGTTTACCATTTGCTGTTTTCCTTCTCAGGGGTGATCCGGACAAATGTGACATCTGGGGGAACACGCCTCTCCACCACGCTGCTTGCAACGGTCACATCCCTTGTGTTTCTTTTTTGATCAACTTTGGTGCCAATATCTTTGCTCTGGACAATGACCTTCGTACCCCCCTGGAGGCAGCTGCCAGCAGAGACCGCAATGAATGTGTCCAAATCCTGGACAAAGCAGCCACCGAGCAGAACATGCTGAATCCAAAGAAGGTCTCCAAACTCAAAGCACAAGCCCAGAGGAATGTGGAGAAACAAATCAAGGAATGCGAGAAGCGCCAAGAGAAACACCAGCATGAAATGAACCGGAATTATATGAAAGAAAAGGTTGGCACAGTAAATTCTTCCAAAGGGACACACTCCAGAGTAAAGTTGCCTAGTCTCTTTGCTTCAAATACAACAAGTTCTTTCTCCAAAAATCTGAAAGATACCTTCAAACTGAAGGCAAAAAAGATAGCTGACAGCACAAGAAGTCAGGAAAGCAACGCCCAAGAGAATGGTACAGGTAGGAGAACTGTGATGCATATTTTTGATGAAAAAGAAGAAGATGAATTCCTGAATGAGCTTGGAGAGAAAAGCTTTTCTGATAATGACAGTCAGCTCTCCATTTTTAAGCGGCCAGGTCTTGGCAAGATTGTGTTTGGAAGGAATTTGGCTGCGGATGTAAATCCTGAAACTGTGTCTTCTGAGAAAGAAGATAAAAGCTCTAAAATGTCCAGTGAGCTCTTTCAGTTTGAAAATGCTGAAAATGGCAGGGAAGATGATGCTGAAAATGATGCTGATATCCCTTGGTATGAGGAAGAAGTCATTTGGGATGACGAGGAAGCAGAGAGCACACCCCTCGAGGTATTTCTGGCATCACAGATGCTGGATGAGTTTCTTCCAGTCTTCATGAGGGAAAAAATTGATTTAGATGCCCTGATGCTATGTTCTGATGAGGATCTACAGAGCATTCAGATGGAACTTGGGCCAAGAAAGAAAGTCCTGAATGCTGTAAATAAAAGAAAACAGGCACTCAAGAACCCTGGAAAGACTGTAGACACTTGCTTATAAATTAAGATACCTGCTGCTGTAACCTGCACACTGATTCACTGTCTTTTCCTCTTTCCAAAGAACATGCAATTCTTTTCAGAAGTCTGCTAAAGCAAAAGGAAGAAAAATTACCAATTGCTTTAGAAAGTACAGCAAGGACAAAGATTTTTCTCTCTGAATAGATAGCTGTGATGAACAGGATATTAATTCAAGCATAATCTGCCAAAAAGAAAGAATGTGAACATGAAACACCAAAAGCTACAGATTCAAAGCTTTTTCTCCCTGAAGTGTTTATAGGGATTGGGTTTCTTTTGGTCTGAATAATCTAAAACATTAGTGAAGACCAGCCACACTACATTCCTTAATAAAGCCCTTCCTTTCTTCTCCAAAACCACAATGCAAAGAACATTCTCAAAGCTGGAGAGCTTTGAGTTTTCTTCATTCACTTCTGTTCGACTCCTACAAATTGCTCTTCCTGGTAGCAATATGTTAGAAATAGGACCTGAATCTTGATTATTGACTCAAATGACCTCTGAATGAATGTATATAAGATCAATTTACAGCAAGTTTCATGTTCTTGTCAGTAACATGTTTTGCCATTGTATTGATACTAATTTAAAAATACATGGAGCATCTTGCCAAGAGATGTTCAGTGTGAGCTGTATATTCTTTTCTCTTCTCTTATTAGACTGGACCCCAGTTGCCAGCATCCATCATGTCCCAAATGAGCTCAAGACTGTAACTCTTTTAACTACAAGAAGCCGAGGTTTTATTTTCAGTATTTTTGATCTGTTTTGGTGTATCCTCAGCTTGGTTCCTATAGGGAGCATTTTCCATGCAAAGTCCCAGAAATCAAGATTCTTATCAAACAGCATTTTCTGTTGGATGTTGCCAGCCTTAGCCTGAAAACTGCATGTAACTGGGTACACACTCACTCAGATGATGAAAAGAGAAAGAAAATGAGACTGTGCTCTGGAGGAAGCTCCTGTTCTTCACAGTCTAACTGGAGGCATTCACAGCAGGGTCCCCTTCATCTCTCTCTGGCTAATCCCTTGGGAAGCCAGCACTATCTGATATGAATTAATCACTCGTGTTGAGTTCTGTGAGTCTAATAAGGTGTTTGTAGCAGCCATGCTATGGCTAAGATCACAGATTTTAGATGCACATTCATTAGCAGGCCATTCCTCTTTAAATCTCTTTTTACAGCTTTCCACTAGTCAGTGACAATCTTTTCCTTAGGGGTATACTGCATTTGTGGACACTAATCCTAGTTAATGATCTATTTTTTCAAGAGTCCTTCTTTTCACATCTTCTTGTTACTTTGATTTATATACTATAATTCATTTTCTTGGCTAGACTTTATACCACGTTCTCCCCTCCTTGGATCCCTGTACTTCAGCAGCTTGGTATTTTCTTCTGTTAAGCAGTCACATCACAGTCCTGTTTTGTGCAACCTTAAATAACTACTGTGCTCAGTGCAGTAACTAAACCAGACAGCACACCCCCATGCTCTGTGTTATTAATGTGCTGGGTTGTTTTCATTTTGGCTAAGAAACTCCCAAACGTTTAACAAAGCAATAAGGAACTGATGAATCTTACGTATTTGAAGGCATATGATGAGTGGATATTAAGGGGTCAAATCCTATCATTCTCAGCCACATAACTGATGTAAAAAAGCAGGGTAATCTACCACTCCTAGCATACAGGGTTGAGACTAGGTCTATACTGCTGCAATGACTTCTCTCTAGCACAAAGAGGAGAGCATAATGCACCTTTTCAGGCCAGATTTAAAATAACAGGGTTAGACCTATTTATCCAGGAAATGCTCTCAAAAAATCTGCTAAGCATAAAAGTGCCCGTCACTGATGAGAGCCAAATGCAGGCAGGAGAGAAGGCACCTGGAGAAATTACACCTTAAGTGGAAGCAGGCCCCAAGTATCTCTAAAATGCACCAAAGATCTGCCTCCTTGCGTACTCTGTAAATCTACCTGACTGCTGCAACCTCTGTCAACCACAGATAGTGGCAGAGACTATATGCACACAAATAGACTCTTCAGCCATAAGCACCCACTGTGTTTAGGTATGCCCTTATGTATGTACAGTAACTCCACAGAGCTAGCAGATACTGCACAAGATCTATAGGAGTCCCTTGCCCTCTGGAACCACATCTAGAGACGGAAGCAGCAGCTGCAGAACACCCCACACTACATTTATTTTTAGGCAAAGGAATCAATCTGAATATATATATATGCTTATAAGCAATAATGCTGGCCCCTTTTTTGCAGGGTGATCATGGAAATGGGCCTCTGGTATAAAGCAGCCACACGGAACAATTCGGGGTGGTGGTGAGGAAATGATATACAGGAACACTCACATTTCAGGATTTTTTCCTCTAACGTGCTTTGCTGCCTTCTATTTTTTTCACTAATCCCTTTGTTTCTTTTGTAATTTGGGAGTATTTAAACTACTGAATCCTAGATCTACCTACTTAGTAACATCTGGATAGTGCAGTTTAGTTGGAGAGACTTTAATTCTAGAATGGTTTGGGTTGGAAGCTCATTTAGTTCCAACCCCCTGCCAGGGGCAGGGACACCTTCCACTAGACCAGGTTGCTCCAAGCAACTGCCAGGGATGGGACAGCCACAGCTTCTCTGGGCAACCTATGCCAGTGTCTCACCATCTTCACCATAAAGAACTTCCTTCTACTATCTATTGTAAGCCTATCCTCTTTCAGTTTAAAGCCATCACCCCTTTTCTGATCACTGACTGCCTAGGTGAACAGCCCCTCTCCAGATTTCTTGTCAGTCCCTTTAGGTATTGGAAGACTGTTAAAAGGTCTTCCTGGAGTCTTTTCTTCTCCAGGCTGAACCACCCCCAGCTCCCTCACCCTGTCTTCATAGAAGAGATGTATTCCAGCCCTCTGAGCATCTTTGTGGCCCTCTCTGGACTCACTTAAGCAGGTCAACATCCTTCTTATGTTTGGGGCCCCAGAGCTGGATGCAGGACTGCAGGTGAGGTCCCACGAGAGCAGAGTAGAGGGGCAGAATCCCCTCCCTCACCCTGCTGTCCATGCTCCTTTTGATGCAGCCCAGGACATGGGTGGCTTTCTGGGCTGCAAGTGCACACTGCTGGGTCATGCTGACCTTTTCATCAACCAACAGCCCCAACTCCTTCTCCTTCAGGGCTGCTCTCCATATCACATGTGCAATCTTATAGCCCAATCCACACCCAACTCACAAATCAGCACAGTCCTGCCAAGTGCAAGATTTTCCATACTTAAGTATTTAATACTCTGCACTGGACAGACATCAAGAGGAGGGAATGTGCAGCATGGGACAATTACTGCAAAACTGAGTATCACAGTGGAGCAAGGCAGTCTCAATTTATTTTTCCCCTTTACATTCAAGTGATCACATTTACTGAGGCAACAGTCACTGCTGCAGCTTGAATGCTTTCTTCCTCATTTTTAAAAACAAACCCAACCCCAAACCAGAGAAGTAACAGACAACAAAATGAAAGTCAAGCAGAAGTATCTATTTAATTTTAACAGAAATTAAAGTTACACAATTCTTGAGAATCTAATTTGCAAGAGAAGGAAACATGGAAGACTATTAATTTCCCCCCCAAAAAATTCCAAAGACAGCATTCCAAGCAATTCCCATTGTAACTGAACCAAATACTCTTCATGAATTCAGAGGTACAATGCTGAAGCCAGGCTCCCAGAGCCTCCTATTGTCAATGAAATGCTGAGAACACTGGTTTTTCAGAACCAAGCCTTTGGACTGGGACCATCTACTTTTTAAAGAGCCGCCTGTAGAAGAGTATATATTAAACTGGACTTTTTTCCCCCCCAAACACTGAGTCTCACTTCAAATACAAATCTTGTTTTACACAAGCACAGAACTAGACAATATTGTCATAATGGGTGAGTACAAGTTTCCATGCATTTCTTGAGTTATGGAACACCAATAGCTGTCACATTTGTCTCAAGCTAGTGAAGTTCTCTATTCCTGAATAACAGGCCAAGCCAACACATACATTTCTGATCACTTCAGAAATGACAAGAAAAACATACGTAAAAATTTTGCTACAATTAAAAGATGCAAAAGCTTATAGAGAAATTCCTGTTCTTGTTTCTGCTGATATAAACAAGATCAGCGGAGTTAAGTTTTTATCCATACAAACACATCCCTTGGCTCTATTCACTTGCTGGTCTTGTACCCTTCCATGCTAAAACTGCAAATCACAGGCTCTGCCACTTACTACTTTTTTCCAACTAGTTTACACCAGGCTTATAATTTGGAGTATTTTATCACATCTGCACTGTACTCATCAATATCTCCTACACTTACTTGCACACCATCAAGAGCTTTAATGATAACTGCTTCTAAACCTTCCTGTTGCTCCACTGTATTCTACTGGTACCATTATAAAATGATCATGTCATCTAATCCTCATACATCAAAGAAAGAAACACTTAGTAGCCTACATGAAGTAATATACAAGTAGAAATAAAACTTCACAAGGCATGACTCTAGGCCAAGACAGGAATTTGTTTCCAGGGCAATACTGTTTTTCAGCAGATGCTCAGCATTTTGTAAGGCAATTGCATAACAGGACAAAACTGGAACTTTTCCTTATGCAGGACATCACAGGGTTCCACTGCCAGGAAAGGATCATGGAAATTCCTGCCCCAGCTAATATCCACTGGGATTAAAGAACAATTATCAATTGATGCATGGTACAGCCAAGCTGAAAATATTTGCCTGTATACTTGAAGTTCATCCTACTGAAATCAGTTTGCACGGTTGCAGCCTTCAAGAATCTTAATAAAAAGAGCTTGGAAATAACACAGATTAACAACAAAATCTCTCCACATAGAGATAAAAAATTAAATCAAAACACATTTTAGTGCTCACGTTTTTGGTGACTCCTTGCAAGATTAAAATGGCAATATTCCACTCAAGAATGTACTAAGGGAGGCATTGAGTACAGTTTCCTTCCAGTTAAGTAAGATGTAT